TCATGTGATTGGTCTTTGATAATTGAGAGTGACAGGTTATTTACTGAAGTGACAGGTATGAAGAAAAGCTATCTGTCGCTTGCGACAGGTAGCTTTTTTTAAACATTTCGAGGCCTGGTTGAAGGCAATACTGGGCCTATTTTTAATCATCTAGGCCTCAATCCCATTAGTGATGCCAAACGGGTGAATATGCGATAAGGTCAATAACAGCTGTGAATCGTTTTCTGCACCTCATAAAAATCCTCTCCTGCAACTACATGTATTGGGGTGGTGTGCTACACTAATGCAGTGATTTTAAAGAATGTGGCCCGATTTGATTCTTTCTACAATCCCCTTCCCACCCTGTAATAAAACCAATGTGAAATCTTCTGAAATCTTCATTATTTTAAGAAAACAAATAATTAATCAACGTGTTTCTATTATTTCTTTTGCACGAGTCTTATTATTTATATTTATCTAATCTGCTACTTACATTGTATATGATGTAATGAGTACAGCTGTATTTTTGTGACTTGTAGAAAGAGACTAAGCCGACAAGTCGACGTTACGATAAAATTGACACGATGATACGACAGAGTAAAGTGTCATGTGATTGCGTCAATAGTGTCATGATGTCGTGTTGTTGCGTTATGAAAAGGGTGAGATTTAACATGGCCACTATCAGCCGGGAGCAGATCGTTTCATCCCACTACCGGTTCACCCCGGGCTGTTTCATCCCAAATTTACACGGGTCCTTTCATCCCACTTATTTCGAGTCGTTTCATCCCACAAATTTAAAAACCGGTATTACATGAATTTTTAATATTTTATTGATACATTAATACCAATAACAATATGTCAATGCAATTTTATCATGAATAGTTTGTTTCACTATAACAGGATTGCCAGTGATAGAACAGATCAAAGAATAAAATTGCACGTAGCCACTATTTCGACACGTGTTATCTTGAGTTGTTCAGACTACAGTTCCTCCCAAATTTTTTGGACCAAAATCGCCGCGACGCGGTGAAAAAAAACTTTCGGAATTCTCTTAGATTTCACGGTGAAATTTCGCTCGATTCCGCGGCGATTTTTCTCTAAGATTCTCTAGGAATTCACCGTGTTTCTCTAGGAATTCACCGTGTTTCTCTAGGAATTCACCGTGTTTCGATAAGAATACATCGTGTTTTGCCGTGCTTCCCGCAAGGAATTCCCGAGCCTACCTTAAGCTAGGGTCGAACTAATATTGTCTATAATAAATTAAAGGAGTTGTAATATAGTAAGGCTCCCGGGAAACGTGTACATGTATAATGTACAGGCCGGTTTGAATAACAAATGAGTTAGGTAATCTCAGGAAGACATTTACCGGCATTCTGTATCGGTTAGGATTTTTTCCCCAACGCACTTTATACATACATAACGCCGGCCAAAATGTATGCAAACTATGAACAACTTACAATTTTTTCAACATATCAATTCATCTTCGTCTATAACTTAGATGTAATCCGTCAATTTGGGGCTGCTATCAAATCCAAACTTTAAATTATATACGATGAGCTTTTACACATTACTTCATTACTCGCAGCTTCGGTTAATCTAAATCAATCATTCATACAGCACGTACAGTAAATCACTCCGCGGGTCGCTTAACGGTATGTTACGTGGTCAGAAACGCGCCAAAAGATTGAAACTACATGTATATTCTTACACTGTTTTACTCGGGGAATAATATCCGCTGTGACAATATACATCTACTTTATGTCACCCAATTCATTTCGGTGGGAGCAGATATTGAATAAAGCCATTTCACACACACATACGTGTACATTACTCGCAGCTTCGGTTAATCTAAATCAGTCATTCATACAGCATGTACAGTAAATCACTCCGCGGGTCACTTAACGGTATGTTACGTGGTCAGAAACGCGGCAAAAGATTGGGACTACATGTATATTCTTACGCTGTTTTACTCGGCGAATAATATCCGCTGTGACAATATACATCTACTTTATGTCACCCAATTCATTTCGGTGGGAGCAGATATTGAATAAAGCCATTTCACACACACATACGTGTACATTACATGCGCCTCATATATTTATAAATAAAATAAAACCAAGTACGAACAATCCAAACCATTAGACAAAATTCAAAGTCCTAAACGAGTGTGTTAATTCTCGTCTTCACCCCATTATAATTTACTTATTTTGAGTACACTTTCTGAATGATTCCATTCTTTTGTACGTCCAACTTGTCGATTTCCTACTGCATATACATGTACCCTGTGTAGCTGCAATCTATAAGCCTATACATACATGTATGTTTGCGTTTAAAATCTAGATATATCAGAAGCTCAAAAGTTATACTAGACGGTGAATACGCAAGTTTCAGGGTTGAACCCGCATCGATATTGCATAATATCGGACCCATATTTATCTTTGCTACTCGGACAAACCCAAAGAACCACTCGGACCAATTAAATTGCATTATAAGGCTTGATTTATTCATTTTAAAAATATAATACGGACAATATGTTATTTATGATTAAATCACAATACAAAGAGGCGAATAATTTATAGATGAGTATATTCATAGCTTAAGAATGGCCGCTGCCGGTAAGTACATATTAGCAAATATTTATCTTTATTACATCAACAATTTAATTGTTTTTCTTTGATGGGCTTCATGATGAAACAATACCACGGGTAAGTACATAATGCTTTATTATTTCAAAGAAAGCAGATGCATATTTAAACAAACACAATTATCAATTATTAAAACAACAATTAAAACAAATAGTGTATCAATTGTAGCCGCGATTAAGAATTGAAAAGGGATGTTTTCTTAGGGAGCCAGACTTTGTTTTTGTAAAGAGCCTGCTTAACATTAGTATTGTATCTGATGATTACATTGTATTAACCACCTGAATGGGTCAAATTCAAAGAATGAAATGGCTTCCTGTCGAAAGCCTTTCTCTGTTAGCTTGGTGGTTTGTTCTCAAAATAAGTAAATTATAACGGGGTGAAGGCGAGAATTAACACACGTGTGGCCATTGTATAAATATATGACATGCTCATGTATTGTACACGTCTGTGTATGTGTGAAATGGCTTTGTTTAATATCCGCTTCCACCGAAATAAAATGAGCGGCACACAGTAGATGTATATTGTCACAGTGGATATTTGTCGTAAGAATATCCCTTGGTTGAATGCATGTAAATGTACAGTAAAATAACAAATACATGGCGCTGTCACTTTTGTGACTTTCGCAGTGTACCCCCTCCCACCCATATTATTTTAATACGTCATAATACATTATTATCATATACCGGTGACAGTCAAGATTTGCTAAATACTTTTCGCCAAGTAACACAGCGTAAGAATATATAGTCCCCGTGTCGAACCCAACATCTTATGTTTTCGCGCGTTTCTGACCACGTGACGTACGATTAACCGAATTGCGGAGTGATTTACATGTATGGCACTGTGATTTATGAATTGATTGATTTGGATTAACTGAAGCTGCGAGTAATGAAGTTATGTGTAAAATCTCATCGAATATAATTTAAAGTTTGGATTTGATAGCAGCCAATAAGATGAAATGATACGTTTAAAAAATTGTAAGTTATTCATTGTTTGCATACACGTACATTGTGGCACCACGTTATACCTGTACAGTGTGTTAGAAATAAAACATACGATCGTAGCTGCCTCACCAACGGTTAACATATCTTGTATTCAACTTAAAATAAATTACATTTTTCGTCAACATGCTTACATCGGGATGATATCGGCACTCAAGCGATTCACCGCGAAACACCATAATTCACCACGAAACACCCTATTTCGCGGTGATTTGGCTAGCTGCCGTTTCGCTAGTGATTCTCCAAGATTCCACCGTGAAATAGAGTGTTTTTCCGCGGTGTTCAGCGATTATAGTCCCAAACTCCAGCACTGTAGTGTACCTGGCGCCTCAAAAAACCCAACGTTAAAAGAAAGCATGCAATGTCCACCTTACAACAAGTTCCATTGATTTACGATTTATTTTATCATTTATCACACAGTTTAGACAACAATGTGTTACGATTCACATTTTGGTATTCTAAATGAATTCTTATATTTGGAATTGTTTAGTTTCATTTCGTGTACGGAAATTAAATCAACGATTAGTTTTAAAATTAATTATCAATCTAATTTGTCTTATTTAAAAGGGGCTCCTGCGCAATTTAGTTGATTATTTGATAATACGTATAGAGCCCATTTGGCGAGTGATTAAGCTGTCAATATGTAATTATAAAATACCTTTTTATAAAGAAGATAAATGATGTTAGACATCATAAACTAACAAACAATACATACGAGTATACTTTATTACAAAAACATTGGTGAACTAATCTAAAATCATAATGGCAATTAACTAACAATACGAATAAACAATACGAATATACAGCAGTGAACTAATCTCGGTCGTGATCGATAATCAACAAAAATCGACGAGTAAAACTTATTAATTCCATACATTATTGTTTATTTAACAATAAGTAAGTGTTTAACAGTTTATTTAACGATAAGTTAGTACAACTCAGTTAATTGACTGCTATTATAATAACAAGGGGAATGAAACAGCCCGGGATGAAACAGCCCGATAAAAAATTAGGTTGGGATGAAACAGCCCGGGGTGAAACGGTTGTGGGATGAACTGACCCACATCCCTATCAGCCATCCTATTTAGCAGTAAAAAGTTGCCCAGTAAAATTTAAAAGTTGTCGAAATTGACAAGGATTCAATACGACAATAGGATAGGACGGTTACTGAACTATGTCAGCAGAGACCTATAGCACTTGTAATTGCATTAGTTGTTCCTACGGATTTCCCACTTATTTAATCAATGACAAAAATAAAAACTGCCCGGGTTCGGGTACTGCCTTGTAATGTTTGCTAGTCTCCCCAGCAGAGTGTGAGAGTCTGCTGGCACTGTTCTCAGTTATGTCTTTCAATTTAAAAGGCATATTTTTTACTTACCCTTCCTTAGCACTTTTAACCAGATATTAACCAAAACACTACTCTCAGACTTGTGGTGTATTATCCACAGAGAAACACTTTGTATACTGTCTTGTGCACCTGTTAGGCTCTCGAATTTCTTCTGTACACTTGTCTCGTTCAAGCCGGTCGCCATTTTTGTTTGCATCGACGATTCTCCAATAAAACGTGCAGCTTTCCTTTCATATTACTGTCATAAAGAGTAATGCATATATTTTTCAGGTCCTACTTGTGTAGTACAGTAGTTTACTGGTAATTACGGTATCAGATTGTTTGATGTGTTTTAATTTAATCGTTTTTTCCTCGTTCAGCTATGGAAATTCTTCGCAGCCCGCAACACAGTCGCCATGTTGCTAATCTCGTTTACGAGATTTATTTAGTTAGAAAAAATATATTCTTATTTTATTCTATTTGCAATGAGTTCGGCTTGCTTTAAAATCTATTAAAGAAAATTAGTATTTTTTTTTTCGCAAGACTTCGCCTGTTCTTTTATTTTTATTTAACTCCGGAGGATTCCACGTGACGTCATGTTGAATGTGATTGCTTGTTTATGACGTGACGACAAGCGCTTTATAGTCTGTGAACTAGACCGCTAAATATTCATTCATGCAGGTCAATGCTTCGATCATTTTAGTGATAGATACAATAACGGGCGTTTACAACTTTTATAAAAGTTTTAAAATAATTAGGATGGGAAGAGGATGTCTAGTCCATCTACATGTTTGAAATAACTCATTCTTCGAAGGGGGTGCAAGAAGTAAGGCCGAGAAGTTGTTTTAATAAGTTATAACATAATGACACAGAACGTGGCTAAATCCAGTATTACTATAAGGACAAGGGGGCAGGTTTTTGAGAGTGGTGTACAAGTGACCCGACTAATTTCGTCATGCTTGTGCTCAAGAAATAGTTAAGAAAAGTTATGGAATTGTTAAACCTGAGGATAATTTATCTACACACTTTTTGTGTAGAAACGTGGATATTATCATTTATTTAACACTGAAACTTGGAAGTTACTGTAGAAGTTTTAATATTGACTAGTTAGTAAATAGAAACGTTGTTTAAATTTTTATAAACTTTGTTTAGTTGAGATTTAGAGTTATAACTTAGGATTATTCAGATGTTTGAGTTTTATTGTATTATTCCGGCTTCTAGACCGATGAATGGCAAATTATCAAGTACTATGGCCAGAAGAAAATATGGATTTAAGACAATTAATTTTGCTGTCTTCTTTTTCGGTCTTCTTTTTGGTCTTCTGACCGGAAATTGGATAAAAGGCACCATACTGGGTCCCTATTCAATCTCAGAATGTGGTTTTCCAGAAATGGATAGCCCAAGTGGTGCATCGGGAGAGGCTATAGACATTCCGTATGAACAGGGAAAGCCCCAAGAGAAAAAAGATACTTTTGTCATTGTGGGAATCATGACAGCCAAGAAATTTATTGATACCAGAGGACTGTCAGCATTTAGAACATGGGTCAACTCAATCAATGGAAAAGTGATGTTTTTCTCTAGCGAAGGATCTAAATCAGGTTATGGAGTACCTGTTGTGCCACTACCTGGTGTGGATGATTCTTATCCACCACAGAAGAAATCATTTATGATGTTAAAATATATGCATGATCATTTTATTGATAATTATGAATGGTTTGTTCGAGCAGATGACGATGTATTCATTAAAGGAGATAAATTAGAAAAGTTTCTGCGATCAATAAATAGTTCAAAACCACAGTTTATAGGACAGGCTGGTGTTGGGAAACAGGAAGAATTGGGACGTCTCAGTCTGTTAGCAACTGAAAACTTTTGTATGGGTGGTCCTGGCATGATTTTTAGTCGGGAAACTTTGCGTAGAATGGCACCTCATGTAGGAGATTGTCTTGCCAATCTCTATACTACTCATGAAGATGTAGAAATTGGTAGATGTGTAAGAAAATATGCAGGGATACAGTGTACCTGGGCATATGAGGTTTGTGAAAATCCTTATTAAAAGTAATAGTTTTGTGATAAAGTGTATGGGGTGCAGGCTGTTTCGTAACCTGGCTGTTTCGTACTTAGTTCATTCGTACCTCACTTCGTACCTCAAATTGATTCGTACCTTTTCCTATGTTGTTGAAATCAGTTGAAAAAAATTGAAAATGCCGAACCAGAATTAGAATATGCACGAGATTTGTATCTCAAATTCATTAGTTCCTTTTCCTAAATCCAAAGGCTGCGCAAAATTTATAAAAATGGCTGCCTAACGAGAATTAGAATACACAGGTGATTTGTACCTCAAATTGATTCGTACCTTTTCCTATATGTTGTTGAAATGAATTGAAAGAAATTAAAATAAATCTATATGTTGTTGAAAGAAATTGAAATAATAAACGATTACCTGCCTTTCTTTTAAATCTGATGTTGATTATCGAACCCATTCTGCTCAGTGAGTTGTGATTTTTGACGACAGTTGATTGGTGATTGTTAAAGCAGTTTAAAAAACGATTGAAAAATATATTTAATCTGGGGTTGATTATTGAACCCATTCTGCTGAGTGAGTTGTGATTTGTGATTATTGACGACAACTTATTGGTGGTTGTTAAAGCGATTAAAAACGATTGAATATACTAAGAATTCCAAAATCAATTTAACTCATTGTAAGGTGAAACTGCATGCTTTCTGATATGGTTGGGTTATTTGTGCCTAGAAACAGAACGCAGCAATCAAGTCTCCAAAAGGTGCCTACGTGTGAAGATAGGCGTACACGTTTCTTTGATCTGTTATATCATGGACCGTATATACGGTCATAGGCTGTCACAGGGTAATTCTGTTATTGAAACCCAACTGCATGAAAATGGCTTTCGATTGTAACCGATGTAAATTTAGTGAAATGCTGAAGCAATTTTAGTATAAATGTATGTGAATTACTACTATTGGGCAGGCTGTGTAATATAAATGTAGCGTAGCCGTTGGATTTGATCAAATCGTTTCACCTTTATTTCAATTTCTTTTAACTGATTTCAACAACATAGGAAAAGGTACGAATCAATTTGAGGTACGAAGTGAAGTACGAAACGGCTCATGTGAGGTACGATTGAACTAAGTACGAAACAGCCAGGTTACGAAACAGCTGACATCCAGTGTATGATATGATTATGAATTGTTATTATTTATTATTAACTTGGCAATAACAGTAAAAACAGTGTAATTTTGATAATTACATGTATCAGTTGTCATGTTCCATTAAAACTATCCAGGGCTTTATTCATCATTTACTATACATGTACATACATACATGTACAATATTGGAACTTAATTTACATGTATTAATTTACATACATGTACATGTAGTTCTCCCTATTTAGAACTCAGTGGTAGATTAACCAATGGCAGTAGGAGTCCCAATTGTCACACACATGCACTGTGGATTTTTATACGCCCACATTTTCATGTGGATGTATATTGTCGTCGCCCCTGTCCGTCTGTCCGTCCGTCCATCCATCCATCCACAATTGTTTGTGAATATTCTACAAGTACATGTCACAATTTTTATCTGATTTCAATGAAACTTGAAATATAGGTTTATCACCCTAATATCTCGGTTCCTTTCGATATTGGCACGTATCAGACTTTAATTTCATGGATTATGGCCCCTGATTGTACGAAAAATCATGTTTATAGCTTGTGAACACTGTAGAGGTCACAATTTTTATTTGATTTGGTTAAAACTTGAAATACATGTTTTTAACCCAAAGATATTAGTTCCTTTTGATATTCGCGCATATCGAACAACTTCTTGAATTATGGCCTCTTGATTGTACGAAAAATCACGTTTTTAGCTTGTGGACCCTATAGAGGTCTCAATTTTTATCCGATTTAAAAAAACGTTTGAATATATCACCGTTACACCCTAAGGTTGGTTGAGTTTGAATTTCGTAAAAATCGGACCGAAACTGACTGACAAAATGGCCGCCCCTCGTTTGAATATATCACCGTTACACCCTAAGGTTGGTTGAGTTTGAATTTCGTAAAAATTGGACCGAAACTGACTGACAAAATGGCCGCCCCTCGTGCGCAAATAGTGTCAAAATATTGTGTATCAGGGTTGTGGACCCTCTGGAGATCACAATTTTTATCTGATTTTGATGAAACTTCAAATGCATGTTTATAACCCAAATATCTTGGTTCCTGTCAATTTTCGTACATATTGAATCGTAACTTCCTGAATTATGGCCCCTGATTGTATGAAAAATTGCGTTTTTAGCTTGTGATCCCTCTACAGGTCACAATTATAATCCGATTTAAAAAAACATTCCAATATATCACCGTTACACCATAATTTTGTCTGGGTTTAATTTAAAGAAAATCGGACATAAACTGACGGATAAAATGGCCGCCCTTGTACGCAAATAGTGTAAACATCTGGTACCGTATATCAAAGTTGTGGACCTCTAGAGGCCACAATTTTGATCCGTTTTTGATGAAACTTGAGATGCAAGTTTATAACCCAAAGATCTTGGATCCCTTCAATATTCACGCAGATCGGATCGTAGCTTCCTGAATTATGGCCTATGATTGTACGAAAAATCACGTTTTTAGCTTGTGGTCCCTCTAGAGGTCGCAATTATTATCCGATTTAAAAAAAACCATTCGAATATATGACCCTTACACCATAATGTTTGTTGAGGTCGAATTTCGTGAAAATCAGGTCAAAACTGCCGGACAAAATGGCCGCCCCTCGTACGCAAATAGTGTAAACATCTGGTAAATCAATGTTGTGAGCCCTCTATCTAGAGGTCACAATTTTGATCTGATTTCGATGAAACTTGAAATACATGTTTATAACCCATAGATATTTAGTTTGTGGTCCGATTTAAAAAAAAACGTGTGAATATATCACCAATACACACTAAGATCTTGGTTCCTTTTGATAATCACGGATACCTGAACTTAACTTCCTGGATTATGGCCCCAGATTCTCTAGAGGTCACAATTTTTTTCCGATTTTAAAAACCGTTTAAATACATCACCATTCCACCATAATGAAGGTTGAATTCGAATGTCAGGAAAATCGAAATGAAACTGCCCGACAAAATGGCCGCTCTTTGTACACAAATTGTTACGAAGTGTGTAATACTACGAAGGTTGTGGACCCTCTAGAGGTCACAATTTTTATCCAATTTTGATGAAACTTTAAAACAAATCTTTATATCCGAAAGATCCCAGTCCCTTTTGATATTTGCACATTTCAGGCCATAACTTTCTGGATTATTGCCCCTGATTGTACAAAGAATTGTGTTTGTTTTTAGTTTGTTTTCTATCCATCTCTTGTAAAATGTGGGCGTATCCTGCCTGGCAGCCGCTAATTTGTCTTGTAGTGGGATAATGGCTGATCTCTAATTTTGTGAACTTTTACAATTAAAATTAAATTGCAAATTTGAATTCTCTGAATCTGTCGGGTTTCTTTTTGGTGCAAATGAGATACAGATCCTGAATATTCCCGTAACGTCTACATGTATTTTTTGTTAACAAAAATACTATTCTATAGTAAGGTTTAAATTCACCCCTGTACAAAATGTATCTTATTCCACAAATGATAATTTGAGCAGGCAATCACATAGTCAATCAATTCACCCCTGTATCTTATTCCACTAATAATAAATTGAGCAGGCAATCACATTAGGCCTGCAGACAAAATTTCTAGCGTGAAGTTCCACTAAATGGTCCTCCCAAATAAACAAACGATACATTTTGGGAAAGCTTTTAACACCAGGAACACAAATCCAGAGTGTTCCAAGCAAAGAGTCTGCACTCTAACTCGATTAAGGGCCAGATGAAAATTGTGATAATTGTCAAGTAAATGCTATATTTATACTAATAATAATTGTGAAGTTGACATTAAATTAAATATTGTCGAAAACATCCGATGCCTTCATCCTATGCAAAGAATATGCTGTTGGTTAAATTTTGATTTAAAGCAAAATGCAGAAAACATAATGGACAAGGAAACATACCGAATTTCGGAAATCCATTTATGGTAAAAGGAGTTATCTCCCTTTATGGAAAAAATCAATAATCATTGATAACAGTAAAAGGATTTAACTACAGACAAGGGCCTATATAAGTTCAACCTTTTTTTTTCAGATAGAATTTGAAGCTAAAGGTCTAACAAATATTTAACCTGAAACATTTAGTTTTCTCACTGAAATAGATATGGCCAAAACTAAATTATACTGTAATGGGAGTGACAATATTGTAATGAAGAGAAAAAATATCAAATTATGGAGTTTAAGAGCGTGTCCGCGAGAAAACCATGCAGAAGGTGCTATGGCTTCAATCACAGATTTTGACCAAATTTGGTTTATAAGTTGGGATAGTTCCAAAACACATAAATGTGCAATATCAGATAAATCTTTCAATTCCTAACTTGAGAAAATTGAAAAAAAACATTTTTCATATGGTGAAATTGCCCAAATCCGTCTTTTCTCAAATACCAACTTTGACAAGTCCTCACACCTTTACTATACGTAGCAAAAAGACCAAACTCACACAGTTTGTAGATGACCTAGTGCTGTTACCACAAAATTAATATCAGACGTTTCTGGGGAACGAGATCTGTATACGGACTGGATATCAAAGCCCATCTAAATTCCCCATTTTTCGTCACCCAAAGTTTGACGCCCTATAGCTACATTACTTCTTTCATGGGGTGGGTTTCAAAAATTTATGCTCGCATGAACAAGCAACCTCCCAACATTTGATACAAAAAATAAAAAATGACCGGAATCGATGTGACAAAAACTAGGTAAAGCAAACAATAACCCATGAAATTCAGCTATTTTGGAGATAATTAAACGTAGTAGATAAAAAAAAACCTGACAATTTTTGTTTCTTTTCATTCATATGGTGTTTACTACCATCCCCAAAATACATTAGTATCTGTTTTATAAAAATGTCTTGAAAAAAATACTTTAAAAGGCCTGTAATCGT